CCCATCCGGGGCCCGTCCAGGACCACCCGCAGGACCAGTGGACTCGGATGCACGGCCTGGCTGAGCACCTGGTGTGGGGTTCTGCCCTCCGCCACGGGCCGTGAAGGGGAGCGATGGAAGCACAGCGAACAGCGATGGCCACGCCGCTGGGCTGCGCCTGCAGGACTAAGCGAAGCGGCTCCGGGCCTGGCGGATGGATCAGCCGGACCGCCTCGCAGGACGGGCTGAACCCCGAGCGTGTGATTGGAAGGGCCTGACTCAGCCTTGAGTCGCGGTCACTGCCGCCTCATCCCGGCGGCTAATGTGTATAGGACACTTGCCACGTGTGTTCCAGGCCCGGTGCCGACACACCATGCACGCCAGCTCCTGCCACCAGAGAATAACCTATTGAGATTTAAAGGGGCCGACTGCTTCCCCGAGGTCACGCCACGAGTCAAGGGCAGAGCTGAGGCCTGGAGCGGGGAGTCAGCGCAGCGGGGCACCTGCGTCTGGGTCTGCAGACACCCAGCCCGGCTTCCAGGACAACAGCCCTCCAGGGGCAGGACACACGCTGACTCGGGGCTCGGGACGTGCCGGGAGGGAGACAGAAACCCTGCTGCTGTCCGATGCCATCGCAGGGAGGCAGAACAGGCCCCAAACAGAACCAACGTCCCGCTCATTGGCACCCATTTCCCTCCGATCTGCATACTGTGCTGTGCGCCGGAGTTGCTAACTCTGGGATTACAAAATCAAACGCATGAATGCATTCCTGTACCTGCTTGTTACAGTCAAACTCAGCACTTAGGGTATGTCTGACCACCCCTAAACCTCTCCACACACATGCACCCGGAGCGGTGCAGCCTGCTTGTTGCTCGAGAACACATCCCGCACCTGGAGGTCCTGGCAGCAAGGGAGGCAGGAGCTGCTCTGCCCACGTGAGCCCCGCCACCCTGCAGACCCCCTGCCCATCGGCTCTGCCCTGCAGCCACCTGCCTTGGGAACCGCTGTTCTACTAAAGAAACATCGCATCGGCCTCGGGCCACATCCGTGTCAGGCCCTGCCGTGCGCTTAAGGAAAACTGCAGCCTTCGGCCCGCGGGCACTGCGAGCCGGTGAAGCGTGGCACAGGCAGTCTCACTCCGGGTGTCGCCTCCTCCGTCTCCAGCCCCTTAAGAAGGACAGGCTCTTCCAGGAGACGTCACAGTAAGAGAAAGACACTTTTCTTTAAACAGCTCACATTTATTATCGATAACAATAAAAAATCTTGTAAAGACTATCAGTATTGTATTACCAAGAGTGAGGTAATAGGTTTACAAAACATTTACAGAAGTTGATATGCAAATAATGCATTCAGGGAGGAAAGTGGAAACCAAGTGGTTAGTGCTGGGGAAGGCAGGGGGACAGCAGCGCTGGGAGCGCAGGGCACGGGAGATGGGACCGTGTCACGGAGCTGGGCGAGCCCCTGCACAAGGGTCTGTGCCCCGGCCCTACAGACGCATTCAACTCTCTGGGTGAACCAGCGCCGCTTCCCAACCAACTTAAAAAGCACACAGCCTCAGCCTGGGGGCGGGGGGGGGGGGTGTGAGCTGAGAGCCAGACAGCTCTACACACATCCCTGGGCTGATGTGCACTGGTGACTGGAGTGTTTTCTTGGCAGCTGTCAGCAAAGTCGCCATCTGAGATGGAGGGAGGGAGGGAGGGAGGGAGGGAGAGAGAGAGAGGGAAAGAGAGAGAGGGAGGTAGAGAGAGAGGGAGAGAGGGGGAGAGAGAGAAGGGACCACCTTCAGGTCCTTATGACTTGGAAGCAGGAGGCGCCAACCGGCAGCAGCACTAACCCTGCTGTGCTTTCTAGAAGGAGCCTTGGGGTGCCCTGAGGAGCTTCCCTTTCTGGAGGAATGCACAGCCGTGTTCCAGGGGGGCCACAGTCACGGGAGCCCAGCACCGAGTCAGTGTGTGGGCGGGCCAAGCGCCTCACTGACCAGGCCGGAGGGCTGTGCACTGCCCCAGTCCCCCCGGCACCCCCCCTGGGGCCGCACACGTGCCCACGAAGCTCTCCATCCCCCGGACTGAAACCCACGCAGCCAGGACCGTGAGCCATCACACAGCGGCGCTGGTGCGTGGGTTTCAGCGCTCAGCTCCAGCAGCGCACCTGCCGTGCCCGCCACAGCCACAGCCACAGCCACAGCGTCTCCATCGATTGGCGACCCATGTCGTCCAGACAGATTCCAAAATAACTGCTTTCCCCGTAAAAAGCGGAAAACGAGGGCCGATGCAAGACAGACCCATCGTTGTAAATGGGAATAAAAAGAAAACGTGGAAGACCAGCCAAGCTCACAGCTGCTTCGCTTCTGTGAGAAGCCTGACACGGGACTAGGTCCTCCTTGCCCGGCCCGCCAGCCCCACTGCCATGCCCACATGAGTCACTGCCTTCCACAGAGACCAGGGCTCCTACAGCCTCCGCTATCCGGGAGCCGCCACACCATGAGCGCGCTGGTTGGCAAAAGTGAACAGCGGGCAGTTTCAAAATGGCAAAGTGACTGACTGCTCAAAGTCCCCAGTGACCAGGGGTAGCCCGGGCTCTGCTGCTCTGAGGCTCGGGGGGGCAGGCGATCTACGCCTGGAATGAGCTCAGACCCCATGTGCGGGCAGGAAGGGCACGGCGCCAGGAGAGGGAGAGTGCCCGCAGCCCAGTGCCCGCACAGGAAGCCCTGCTCTGAGTGCCAGCAAGGTGAGAAAGGAGAGAGACAATCGTGTTTAATGATGGCGGGTGCCTGGCGTCACAGGAGCCCGGACCCAGCACCCACTGGAGAGCCGTGGATCCATCTGGCTCTCAGTCCTTCCAGCTTAAGCGGCGTCTGTTCTAAGGAGGCCGCAGGCTGCCGCTCAGTCCGTGACAGGCCGGTGACAGCAGGGAGGTGAGGGCTGCGGTGGGGGGACAAGTCGCAGCCGCTCCGCCCAGGAGGGTGGGGAGGGATTCGTGGACAGTGTGGAGGTGGTCCAGACATTTTTTGCATCAACATTGGAGGCAAAGTCTACCTCTTAACTGGCATATAAACTGCGCTCCTGCGCGATAGCCCTTGCGCTCGAGCGATCCTGTGCGCGCTGCATACAACACCTATGGCTATTGGTGAGTTAGAGTGAAGCTACCTGTCCAGAGTCGGGATCAGTGACTACGTTTACCATCTCGAGAGCTACCTGCTACCTAGGGTGGGGCGAGAGGCTCAGCACTGGCCGCTGGTGGAGCGCTGGGCTGTCCGAGGAGAGGCGGCGCGGCACTACCTGGAAGCCATGGAGCTGGAGTGGGACTGGCTGGAGGAGGTGGTGGCGGCGCTCAGCTGGGAGAACCCACTGTGGCTGGACTCCAGGCTGGTCATGGAGCCTCTGCAAACAGCACAGCGAGGGTGAGGCGTGAGGCCCGAGCCAGCCGCTACCCTCACTGTGCCCCCCTGCTCTCCACGCCTCCCACTCAGCAGCCCCCTCCTCCCGCCAGGGTCCCCAGGATGAGGTTCCCCGCTGCCCTGCACACAGACAACCTCGTGAACTGACGATGGCCAACGGCCCAGAAGCCACCTCCGCCTGCACAGAGCCGCTGCCCTGGGCTCCCTGCCCAGGGGCCGTACCTGAAGTCCTCGGAGCCGATCACCTCGGTGTAGTACATCACTTTACACTTGTGGGAGGAGACCTGCAGGGAGGCCAGCACGTCGTCCACGCGGGGCAGGTTGGTGGCGGCGCACGCGGGCATGCTGTGGAATTTCCACTGAAGGATGTAGAAGCCCGGCCACCGGGTCACGTGGGAGCCCTGGAACGAGTCAGGCAAGCTGCTGAGGTCTCCCTTCCAGGCCCCCGCCCGCAGGGGGTCTGCCAGAGCCCAGGGAGTGTCCCGTCCACCCGGATTCAGCGGGGGTCACTGACCACCGGGATGGGAAGGACCTGCTGCTCTGGGTCATTACCAGGGCTGCTGCCAGCCAGGCCTCTGCTAGGGGCTGGGAAGGCCCTGAGGGTGACAGTGAGTTTGTCTGCCCCCAGGACCTGCCACAGCCTCAGGGGGAGGAAGGCCAGGACATAAGCGTTCAAGAGGGCCCTTCGCTCGGCCTTGAGGGGGTCAAAGGTCATGTGGACCAGGCAATGCTCTCGGACACACTTCCATGATCTTACTAACGTGTTCCGTGTTAACAGGAAGTCCATCCCAAACCAAATGTCAATCTGTGAAAATTACCTCCTCCATTAATTCTGGAATTGGACTGTGATGTAGCTTAAAATGCCCATGATTTTTAAACTGAAGCAGCTACTTCCTTATACTCTGCTTCTAAGACACCAGGACACTGACAGGCTCATCCCTAAAACAAATGGCAGCAAAACCACGCATCTGCTCTGAGAGCCCGAAGCACCGAGAACACCTTCTGAGCAGGCACTCAAAGCAGCCGCCGAGTCTCACCGAGGAACTGACCGGGCACCTACATATATAAAAGGCTAAGTGACCAACCGTCCGTCCGTCCATCCATCCATCCGACCATCTAACCGTCGACTGGCACATATGATGTGCACCGGCAATTTAAAAATAAATATTGACTTGCGCATGCGCGATACGTATAAAGCTCTTGCTGGCGCCAATAGCACACGTGTGTTTTGATCTGTCATTGTCGATCATGAATTCGGTTGTTTTTGTTGACATTCTGAAGCTGAAAGAAGCCAGCAGTGTCGACAGAATATATCTGAAGACCAACTATTGGCACAACTATTGGTCACTTAGCCTTTTATGTGTATAGATACATTTTACTAATTTTCTTTCATCTCTGACACTTCTACTATAAAGAAAGGGCAAAGAGCGATATTAAAATATTTCTTCTAATTAATTTCCTTTCAATGTGCACGAATCCGTGCACCGGGACACTAGTTTTAAATAAACTAGAAAGCCCAGCAAGACACTTAACAGCCCCCGCAGCACTCGTTTCTCTCCCTTCCTTCAGGGTGACAGAAGCACATGGAATGCAGCCAGGGCGCGGTGGTGGAGTCCCTGAACCCCAGCTGTGCGCACAGTGCCTTCCCTCCTCCCGGGTCACCTCTGTGAATACACTTCCAAAGCCACTCACGCCCTTTAGAGTAAGGCCTGGGCTCTGTGCAAAACCAGGCCCGAGTCCTCTGCTCTAAGGCATTCTGATCGAACTAGGCCGGACACACCTGTGCCCACAGACAGACAGCACCGGCCATGCGGGGCGGGAGCGAGGTGACAGCCTCCTCCTCAGGACACACCACCGAGCTGGGAGTTGCCGACGTTTTACCTGCACGCTCTCCCCTTCTCTGCAGATCAGCGGCGACTCCACCATGCTGTAGTCCCGGCCCAGCTGCCAGGCCCTGTCGATCAGCTGCACGTTGTTCCCCCCGGGAGACGTGATGCTGTGCGCCCCCAGGGAGTCCTTCTTGGGCGGCTGTGGTGACCGCTTGGAGTGGTAGATGTTGAACACAATGTCCCCTTTGCACACGTCAAAATCCCAGGTGATCACCGAAGAGGCATCCACGATCTGAACGAGGATCTGGAGGAGGGGACAGGCGTCACCCCAGGGCAGCGAGGCCCGTGCCCACTGCGGGGCTCCCGGGCGCTCAGCCAGCTGTGTGCTCTGAGGAGATCCAATCAGCCATCGGTTCCCCTCCGCCTTCCCCCTCAGCCCCTGGTGCTGCTCCGTGGCTGGGGCCCTGAGCTGGGCACTTGGTTCGCCACCCTACAGCCCAGGACTCCCCAGTACACGATCTTTAGACAGCACTGGAGAATACTGGGTCCCGGCTGAGAAAACTCAACAATACAAAGTGGATGTAAGTCAAGACGGGGCACAGGGGTCCGTGACTGCTCTGGCTGGGAGCTCAGGGAAGGCCCAGGGCAGGTGGAAGCTAAACAGAGCGCACACGGAGGAGGGAGCAGCTCTGCCAGGCGGCCCCTCTGCTCAGTGGGACAGCGGCACCGCTGGGCGGGAGGAGGGAGCCACGTGGCATGGGGTGGGACGAGCCCGAGCCCGGGGTTGAGGCCGATCTAAAATCTGCATTTTATGTGGCGCCACAGAGAGCTTCCCAGCAGGGAACGATCAAAGTTACACTTCCAGCCCTAGCCGGTTTGGCTCGGTGGATAGTGTGTCGGCCTGCGGACTGAAGGGTCCCTGGTTCAATTCCGGTCAAGGGCACATGCCCAGGTTGCGGGCTTGATCCCCAGTGGGGGGCGTGCAGGAGGCAGCCAATCAATGATTCTCTCTCATAATTGATGTTTCTCTCTCTCCCTCTCTCTTACTCTCTGAAATCAATAAAAATATATTTAAAACAAAAACTTAAAAAAAGAAAGTTAGTTTCAGGAGATTACCGTGGGAGGGACGCGAGAATCAGAAGCAGCTGCAGCTGCGGGAAGGTATGTGTTCACTGGAAGCACCAGCAGAAGCCAGGCCCCCGCCCCTCCCCCGCGTCCCTCAGATCCATAAAGCAGGAGGGTCATGTCTAAGAGCAGCGGTGGCCCTAACGACTTGCCCACCCCCCAGTGGCTCCCAGGGCGAAGCTCTCAGCTGACGAGCACACGGAGGAGGGAGCAGCGCTGCCAGGCCAGGCGGCCCCTCTGCTCAGTGGGACAGCGGCAGCCGCTGGGCAGGAGGAGGGAGCCACATGGCCTAACGACTTGCCCACCCCCCCAGTGGCTCCCAGGGCGAAGCTCTCAGCTGACGGGCCCCTCTCCTGCCTTCACAGTGGGCACTTAATCAGCCTCATTTCAGGCACAGCGCTGTCCTTGGTGTGTGCGTTGCTGCATATCCAAAGCGGAAGTGAAGCGGCCGAGCCAGCAGCCTCGCACCGGGGCTCAGGGAGGGAGACTGGCTGTGAGGGCCTCACACCCACTGTGTCGCAGGACAGTGTGTGTGAGAGACAGGCCGCTTCTGCACCACAACGCGACACAAGAGGGGAAATTTCTCCTCACTCCACTAGGCTAACAAAAATGGGGAAATTCCTTTCAAAATATAAATAACCAAACTCAGCCAATGAAACACAGGAAATGAACCTGTAATCCTGAACAGACTAACCCCGGGAGTCCACCTCCGTGCGGCCAGCGAGCGGAGGGGACCCACCGCGCAGCCCCCTCAATGCTGCGGCGCCTGCTCCACCACAGTGTAGAGACCAAGCCCTGCGAGAGCACCGCTCCCCGCTCCCACCTGCACCTGGGGAGGACCCTGACCCCCCGCGGGGGAGGGGGCGCACCTCGTGCGGGGCTCCTTTGAAGACACTGGCGGACTGGTAGATGGTCTCGGTCCAGAGCTTGAGGTCTTCGTTCTCCAGCTCCTCCGCGGTCCGGTACAGGGACTTGGGGACCAGCCCGCCCTCCGGCACTTCACACTGCAAAGCAAACACCGATGAAGCTGCACAAACACACCTCTGACCCCTGACCATCAGGCTGTACCGCCACCGCCTCGGAGCTGGAGCTGCGGGGGAAGCGGAAGCTGGCGGTGCGTGAGCCGCTGCACCTGGCCACGGACTCCCCGACCTCCTGACACACCCGTCCTGCTTTCAGTAAATGAGAACGAGTGGAAGCTGATCCACCACGGAATTCACACTAATGTGTCTGAGGCTCTGGACTCACTCACTACGGCGGGGGTATGTGAGGGGACAAGTGTTTACACTGCACCTAAAGGGAAAGTGACGTCACGGAAAGGGGTTTCCTCTCAGCAGCTACAGGCATTGCTTTTATTCATGTAATTACGGTCAAGACCCGTGACCAATGACGAAAGCTCCGCATCTACCGCAAGTCAAATGACTAGCCGACTAGCCGGAACATCAGCCCAACACTCACGGCGGACAGCTTCCCGGGAGAGGGCACCTCCTGGGAGAGGACAGCTTCCTGGGAGGGCGCCTCCTGGGAGAGGGCGCTTCTTTGGGATTTGCCTGCCACAGGCTGTCCTGAATGGAAGTTGTGCATTTCGCAAGCTTCCTAATTCACACTAGCCGGAACATCAGCCAAACACTCACGGCGGACAGCTTCCTGGGAGAGGGCGCTTCTTTGGGATTTGCCTGCAACAGGCTGTTCTGAATGGAAGTTGTGCATTTCGCAAGCTTCCTAATTCACCTCGATATCATGGCTTCACACCGCAGGTCGTAAAACCCACGTGCTTCCTGTGTAATCAGCGCCGGGAGGCGACCACAGGAACAAACATGACGGACACCTGTCATAGCCATGACGTCTCGTTAGAGATGTAACTCGTTAGAGACGGTTAAACCCTCTTGTGCAGTAGAACGAGGGGAGTGCCGCCTCTTCCACACCAGCCTGGACAGAAGGCAGAGAGGAAGCTCGAAGGCCAGTTGGCGCCCCGTCAGCTTCGAGGACCTCCCACCTGAACGCAGCACGGTGGTCAAGGGACACGAGGCCCACCGGCCGTGAGTCGTCTTCTGCTCCCACGAGCTCCTCATTGGAGCGACCACCTGACGGTCCTCTCACGGAACACAGGTCGCTGGTGGGCTTCTGCGAATCTGACCTCAGGGCGAGGTCACGGGCACCGGGGAAGTCCGGGCCCGGTAACTGACAAGCCCCTGCACGGCACCGTGGCACGCCTGCCACTCCCTGCGGCAGGACTGAGGCACTCGGAGCGGAATGTGAATGCTGCGTAAAACCCTCTCGCCGTCCAGAAAGATTTTCCTAGACCCCAACTCACTAGCTAAACACATGCGTCAAGGCCAGGTGTACCCACCTTGAAGACAACTTTCTCCACGAGGAAGGATGAGAGCCTTTCTCTAATAAGAGCCTGACTCCCGAAGCCACGCCCTCTCCTGGTCCCAGGGCCTCTGCAGCTGCGGTGCCCTCCCCCTCACGCAGGCAGGGAGCCCCAGCGGCTGCAAGGTCCTCAGGGAATCACACATCCTGATCCCTCCTCACAGCGCAGGGCATAGAAGGGGAGGAGCAACTCAATGCATTAAAAATCCGAAAATACATGAAAGAGTGAGAATTCCCTTGATTTGTCCTCTTTAAAATGTCATCCTGATTTATTATCAATAGGGAAATCTTTTTTAAAATAACGTTGATTTTGTTAATAGTGTTTTAAGAAAACACACAGCTCCTCCAAAACAGCTCAGAAACCTGATTCAGAAAGACAAGTACTTTATGATTTCACTCACATGGGGAATCTAATGAACAAAATGAACGAACATCTGACTCACACAAAGCGGAGGGAATAGCAAGTTGCAATTAGATTAGACTCTACAGCAAGTTCCCATTAGCGTAACAATGAGGAAATGTGCACGTTACCAAAGATTACCTAAACGGTGGATCAGAGAGATGCCAGCCAAAAATAATAGAACCCAAAACCAGCAATCCAGACTAAAACTCTGAAAACCACTTGTGCAGACCACGCCCCCTCCCTGTAAGTAGCCGAATGGGCAGGACTTGCCGCGCACGTACCATGCACTCCCCGCCCAGGAAGTCGGGGATGACCTCCTTGTCGATGTAGTCCAGCAGGCCCCCGGGGCCCTGGTAGTCGTTCCCCGCGTAGATGAGGAACTTCCTCCTGGTGTTGTCGTCGATGAACGGGCTGACCTGTCAGAGAGAGAGAGCGCAGTCACCTCTGCTGGGCCATCTGGCTTTCAGAGGCTGAGTGATATGGTGACACCATGAGTGGGGGAAGGGAGTGTGAGTCTGATACACTTAGTAAAGTCCGTTTGCACGGCATTGGGACACTCAGGAACCCTTTCTTCCCCTAAACAATTTGAGAAATGTTATGTCTTTCCACGACAACTTGGTTTTTCTAACTCGCCAGGACTTGGGAGTCACAGAAGATGAGGAACTTCCTCCTGGTGTTGTCGTCGATGAACGGGCTGACCTGTCAGAGAGAGAAAGCGCAGTCACCTCTGCTGGGCCGTCTGGCTTTCAGAGGCTGAGTGACAAGGTGACACCATGAGTGGGGGAAGGGACTGTGAGTCTGATACACTTAGTAAAGTCCGTTTGCATGGCACTGGGACACTCAGGAACCCTTTCTTCCCCTAAACAATTTGAGAAATGTTATGTCTTTCCACGACAACTTGGTTTTTCTAACTCGCCAGGACTTGGGAGTCACAGATTCGTGAATATGACTGCGTGGTGTGTGCCTCGCAGATGATAGCAGCTGCTGGAAGAGCATCCACCCACCAGCGTCCAGAGCACAGGAAACACCCGGGGGGCCCGCAGGATCAGCAGGCGGCCCAGCGTCTCGGGGTAGTTGGCCTCCACCACCTCGATGATGCGCAGCAGGGCCTTGACGCCGGGCCTCCACAGGTGGCGCATGTTCAGCCCCTCCAGGTCCACCAGGCAGGTCCACGAGCTGTGGGTGAGCAGACGCGTTATTCCACAGACGCACCTCGGCACACTGGGTACCACAGCTATTGTTCTGTATTCTTGATATTATAACGTAGTCATTTCTATCCATTTCCCAGAAATGCCCGTTTTCAGAATGACAGTGCTATGAACTAGACTTGCACCTGCTTGTAAAGGCATACGGGTCAGTGTGGGGCACCAGCCCTGCACTCCCAGAGCACCGGTGGCTCACGGCCAATGCCTAACCCTCGGCCTAACGTGCTCAGCGACCAGCAAGTAGGGCACCAGCTGCAATGACCCTGGGCTGGTCTGCACTGGGGCGGCGGCATGCCTGAGCTGCGGTGAGCTCTCCGAGTGTCCCGGAGCTCAGTGCTGTCTTGGAGCTGAGGCTGGGGCGGGAACCAGCCTTGGAGCCCTGCCCTCGGAGCTTCCCTCCAGTGGACCCTCTGCCTGCACCGGGTCAGCCTCTCAATCCCGCACTTAGGTAACAGTTCACCGGAACTAGCAGTAGGATTTAGGATCATGCACTAATTTTTAAAGCTCGCCGCCCCCCCCCCCCCCCCAAAAAATTTTTTTTTAAAAACCCAGACTAACCCTAACCTGCAACCCTGGGCTCTCAAGAACCATGCAGACTAGCCAGCCTGGCCACGCCCCTGAGATGAGGGACGGCAACGCCCAGGGGTTAGAAATACCCAATCCAGCACCGCCCCTCTGACGGCCACATACATGCTCACTGTCTTCTACCTTCAGGACACTATTTAGACTTGGTTCTAAGAATCAACCGGGAACATTTAGGTCAGAGGCTCCATCAGCTGGAAGGAAAACAAAGCCGCACGTCTACCTGATGGGCCGGCCGAAGACTTTGGTGTTTTCTTCACAGCGTCTCAGCCCTTCCTCGTTGATGGAGAGGACCTACGCATAGGAGACCACGAAAACTGTCAGTCTAGGACAGTGGCCAGCAAACTCATTAGTCAACAGAGCCAAATATCAACAGTACAACGATTGAAATTTCTTTTAAGAGCCCAATTTTTTAAACTTAAACTATATAGGTAGTACATTGTTATTAAC